TTCCCGGTCAACTATAAATTGCACGTGGAGACGATTTTTTAAAGCTGGTGAACTAGACCAAAGTCATTGATAACAAAAGAACAATAAATCTACTTTCTCCGGTACTTTATACCCGCTCAGTTGCAATGCAATTTAACGCTCAACTACAAATCGATGGCTTTTGATGGTGACTGGCGCCGAATGATGGTCAACTATAAATAGACGTTTTATCGACGTTGTTGTTGTCACCTGGTCGACTACAAATAGATCAAATATCAATGACAAAAAAACAAAGGTAAATCAACATCATTACAACGTCCCTATAGTAAGACCGTCGGTTTACCACGGTATTTCAATGTTGTTACAACATTGGCATTTCAACCCTGACCATAACGACGAATCAGATGAAAAATCAACATCAATTCAATGTCGTCTTGCTATCTAGGTTGCCTTTACCATCCACCAGGGGGTGCTGTAGTTCTCTCAGCAACCCTACTTCCCAAAGCCTTGCCCACATTACAACATGACTGATAAACCAGAAACATGTATTCTTTTCTTTGTTTTTTAAATTTTTGTTACATTTAAAACAACTCATCCAATTTCAGTTTCCTTGAAATATGTTGGCTATTGAAAACAAATGAACTAATGACAGCTATTACAATTTTTCTGAATTGCTAAAACACTAAGACTCCATTCTCTAAAACAAATTCTTAGTGGCCAAAACCTATTTTTCGTATCAAACACTTTTGGCCAAATCTTAAACACAGATTTCTTTCTTTGTCATAGAAGCTTTTTCTTTATCATGTAGAAAAACCATTAACTATGTAACTTCTTTACACTGACAGCAAGGGGAGTTTCACTGGTCTGGCTCCACTTAAAGTCAAAGTGGACCGCAATGTTAAATGACTTTGACACCGCTGGATTAGCACATGGATAGGACCAGTAGGAATGTAACTGAGTACCTTTAGCAGTTTACTTAAGTACGGGTTTAATATACTTGCACTTTAAGTATTTCAGTGTTATGCTACTTTTATAAATTTGGAGGTAAATATTTGTTCTTTAATATTCCAGTCCATTTTTTTCGAATCTTTATTTTCTTATTATTTTCCAGATGATCTACATTAAAATCAGCAGATGCTGCAACATTAAAGAAACATATATATGTCAAAAGATCATTAGTTGCAATCTAAAATATATAATGTATATGATCCTGAAAAAAGCCATTTTACGATCAATATAATCTCTAGATATAATTTAGGTTCTTTGAATGTATTTTTTGATTATACAGATTGTGGACTGTTGAGCTATTTGGATGGGATTTTAACTTTTACTCACTCGTTTATTTAAACTCTTGTGCAGCATCAGCATTGTTACGGATTCAAATATTGGGGATGGATACAAGAGGAAAA